TCCTACTGCGCGCCTGTGTCTGGTCCTACTGCGCGCCTGTGTCTGGTCCTACTGCGCGCCTGTGTCTGGTCCTACTGCGCGCCTGTGTCTGGTCCTACTGCGCGCCTGTGTCTGGTCCTACTGCGCGCCTGTGTCTGGTCCTACTGCGCGCCTGTGTCTGGTCCTACTGCGCGCCTGTGTCTGGTCCTACTGCGCGCCTGTGTCTGGTCCTACTGCGCGCCTGTGTCTGGTCCTACTGCGCGCCTGTGTCTGGCTCCCTGACTCACAAGGTGTTGGAAGCTCGTCCACGTGGCCGCTGCCTCGGCCTCTCTCAGGGCTCCCGACCTCCCGCCGAGCGCAGGGCTTTGCTCCGTCCGCCGGGGTGGACAGACCCGGGGTGGACAGACGCCGGGTGGACAGGTGGTTGGCTCCGCCTCGGGTGCCGGCTGCTCCGTTGGTTTCCACACCGTTTTCAGCTCCTCGGACGGCAGGCCTAGCAGTGGAGTCGCTGGTCACGAGGGAAGTTGAGGGTGACCTTGTCACCTGGGGTCGTGGTGATGCTGCGTTTAAATGGAATGTTGCAGCATTTATGTTGATGGGAGGAAGTAAAAAGACCGTTGGTCGTGCTGAGCGACGATTCCATGGAACGGACCTGCCCTGTTTTGATAAACGAGAGGGGGGTGTGGGGCGAGGAGCGCTCACCCCCCTGAGGGCTTCGGCCCGGGCTTGTGCCTAAGGCTTGAGTTCCCGTCTGTTTTCCAGCGATTCCTTCAGGGTGGATTCCCGGAAACAACATGTGACAGACGCCTGTCCACTCCCCTTCACAGCAAAGGTCCAGGTCGCGGGGAGCAGGGTCCCAGCAGCCAGGGCAGGGGCGGCCCCCCCGCGTCCAGGGAGGTCTGACCCAGCAGCGGCCGCCACTCCGGAGGAAGGAGTCTGAGAAACAAGGTGGTTCCGACAACTTCAAAAATAAGCGGAACGCACGTGTTTCCTGATTTCCTGGAAAAGCTGTGCTCAGGGTCAGCGGTCAGCCGATCCGGGGAGAACATGGGACAGTGAACGGGACACGCAGGACCGTCCCCTCGGCGACCCTGACGTCACCGCACGTGACCACAGCGCAGGTCCCCGAAGGAATGGGTCGGGGTGCGGGCGGGGTTTACCCCAACATCCCGGAGGGGCGGT